GGATTGGCACCCAAATCTCATTGTGACATTCATCAACTACAAGAGCAAAAAATCTGTGCCAGCCACCAAATATTCCTTAACCAGTCATTGTGAGTCTGTCTTGGTATTTTTTCTCTGAGCAAGTAACTGTTTTTCTTCTAACTCTGTCTCTGTGTGTGTGTATGTGTGTGTGTGTGTGTGTGTGTGTGTGTGTGTGTGTGTCTGCCTCTCAATCTTCCTCCATTTCGTAGTGCTAGGAATTGAACCCAGGGCCTTGCACATGGTAGGCAAGTACCCACTAAACTATTCTATTTTGCTTTGGTTTTGAGTCAGGGTCTGCTCTGTAGCCTACACTGCCTTCAAGATCCTCCTGATCTCCTGAGTACTAGGATTATAGGTGTATGCCACCACACTTGTGGATTTTTTTGTTGTCATCTTGGTGGGTGGTGGTGGTGGTGGTGGGTGTTATTGACAGGGTAAGCTGGGTGGGAAAGAAGGCTTGTCCAAAGTGAGAGGATCCAGGAGAGAGCCTGAAGGTGGCTTGTAAGGTCCTTCCTTGGAGTCATCTTGTCCAAAGGATGGATGGGGCCGGGGGTTGTCAGGGGTGGTGGTGGTATGAAAAAGACTGAGAAGTCAGCCTGACCTTAAGGAGTGTATGTTCTGGTGATGTGTGGGTGATCGTTGAAAGGCACTGTGGGTGCTGGGAGAAGAGCAGTCCAGGTGGCCAGGGTGACATTTCACCCTGGGACTTACTTGGGTGAGCAGAGGCAGGAGTGCCAGGGACTGAGTTGGGAAACTCAGATTCCATTAAAGGAGCAGAAGAGGCCCGGGTTCAGCCACATCAGCCGCCAGTTGGGACAGCTGAGTCATGGCTTGCCTGCGAGGACTCAGAAGGTTGAAGGGACAGTGCTAATTTTATTGTAGGGTTGAGAGACTGGCCAGTGTGGTGTTGGCAGAGACAGAATCACAGAGGCTCATTAGAGGCACAGAGGAAGCTCATTAGCTGAGAAAGTCCTTAAAAGGGACAGAAGCTCCAAGGGGGGAGAGATGGGCAGCCAGGCAGGTGGCAGTGTGGCTGCTAAATTTTTAGACCTAAGAACATTTGCCAATATAGTATAGCCCTTCGCTGGCTTCTGTTGCTACCTCGTATCCTCTGTGTTTCAGTTACCACAGCATCACTGGTTTGTTTCATTTGGGGTTTCGGAGGGTTTTGTGAAACAAAGTCTGACTGCACAGCCCTGTCTGTTGGGGAATCTCACTGTGTAGCCCAGGGTGGCCTGGAACTCTGTCTTCCTGCCTCAGCCTCCCAAGTACTGGGAGTACAGTATATACCACTATACCTGGCTTCACTGTGTTACTGTTAACCAGTTCCACACTTGTATCATTGGTGTCTCCATTAATGTCCTTTCTATTCTAATGTCTCACCCAAGATAGCGCATTACAGCAGTGCCATCCTAAGTCTCCTCTGGTCTGTCTGCCCTGGCTCTTTATGATCTTGACAGTTTTGAAAGGTACAGGTCACCTAGCACTGGGGAGGCTGAGGTAGAAGGACGGAAAAAGTTCAAGGCCAGCCTGGTTGCAAAATGAGACCCTGTCTCTAAAAAACAAAAACACCTTTAATCCCAGCACTCTGGAGGCAGAGACAGGCCAATGTCTGTAAATTTGAAGCCAGCCTGGTCTACATAGCAAATTCCAGGCCAGCTGGAGCTACATAGTGAGACTCTGTCTCAGCAAAACAAAAAGGAAAAAGTTGGTGCTGGGAGATCACTCGGTGGGTCAAGTGCTTTCCAGACAAGCATGAGGACCTGCCTTCCAGGCCCCAGTATGCATGTAAAGCCAGACAGAATAGCATGTGCATTTGTAAACCCAGCACTCCTTCAGGGAGATGGGCTATAGAGGAAGGAGACTTCCCGAAAGCTCTGGGGTTCTGGCTTGTGTATGCAGTGGCAAGGACAGACACCTGAGATTGTCCTCTGACCTCCACACATTCACACACACATACACACACACACACACACACAGAGTGAAAAATAGAAACTGGTCAAAGTTCTTTGTTCATTATACTCCGTTTACGTTTGTCGTTTGTCTTCTGTTTTTCTCATGGCCCATCTTATAATAATAATGAAAAAAAAATCTGTGAGTGACAAAACAAAGCAATTTCCCGTGAACAATGGCGGGGGGGGACTCCTTGTTACTCCCTGTGCTGTCACATGGATGGAACCATTTGGAGCCAGATGGCAAAGGGGCTTTTCACAGCAAAACCAGACTGTTTCCATTTGGCTTTTTTTGGAAACAGAAAAGGTAAAGAAGCCAACGGAGGCAGGGCTCCAGGCTAGGCGTGATGGCTCTGGTCTCCATCTCCTCCAGCTGGTGATCCCGCAGGTTGCTGTCCTCCTTCTAAGGGCCTTATCTGAGCATCCACATCAAGCCTGCTCCGGTCATGTGCTGATAGGAAAACACAGCAGCAACCTGGGCAGTTAGAGGGCCAACTGCCACATGCCAGTTAATTGGCCTGGAAGGAAGCTTATTAGTTCCTTTTCCTGTGGCTATGATAAAATACATGTGGACAAAAGCAATTTATGGGAGGAAGTGTTTGTTTCCAGCTTAGGGTATAGTCCCTTATAGAAGGGAAGTCCTGTGGCCTACTCATCAATATCTTTGCCTTTCAAATGCCAAAATCCAGGGATGTCTTAAATGGCGTTGTTTTTACATATAACCTGCACAGATCCTCATTCGATGTAAATGCCATGCAAATGGTTATGCTATACTGCTTAGGGAATAATGTCAAGTGAAACATCTGTACGTGTTCAATACAGCATGCCTGTCATAGGCTTTACTGCACGTGAACCTAGTGAATCTGCAGAGTAGCCCCCCCCCATGGAGCCCCTTGATAATTGATTGACCCGAGGTGCCCCTTTTTAAAGGGTAATGATTGAAGTAACAGAGGTGAGTGCCAGGTGTGGGGCGGGGGAAGTCCCCTACCACTGCTACCCAAAAGCAAATTCCTCTGGGAAGTATTCAGAGCTCCTTGAACAGAGCTGCATGACAAACCATGAGCTATTCAAGTTTCATGGCCCCTCCACCCCCAGCTACTGCAGCCTAGCCAACTGAAGTGGACTTTCCAGTAACATTACATAAAACAGTGCAACTAGTGACTTACACAGCATCCCCTCAGGCTAGTTAGCATAGAAATTCAACAGAAATGGCAGCAGGGTGGCACATGCCTATAACCTCAGCACTTGGGAGGCAAGCGTAGGGACATCAACCAAGTATTCACAGCAGGGCCCCACCCTTGAGCCTGCCTGTCCTCTTGTTTCCTGAACCTTCCTCCCCTCTAATAGTAACTTTTAAATACAAAAGCCTGGGGTCTCGTGGCTTTTTCCATGTCTCCACACACAGCCATCTGTGTTTTCTTCTGTACAACATTGTATTGTTGACATTGACAACCCAGCCATGTGACAGTACATTTGGGGTAGAGTATAAACAGGCAGGGCTGACTCCTCCCCTCCACCTTGGTCCAGGTGAGACCAGAGGTTCTTGTTTTCCTGAGTTTCCATTCTCTAGCCCACTATGTAGCTCTGGATGGCCTAGAACTTAATATGTAGGCCAGGCTGGCCTCAAACTCAGAGAGATCTGCCTGCCTCTTGAGTAAGTGCTGGAATTAAAGGCATGCACCACCATGCCCAGGTTATGGCCCCTTTTTACTCTAGACATATTTACATGACTCATGGTAGTTAGGTATATAAGATGTGTACAGCCAGGTATGGTGGAGCACGCCTTTAGTTCCAGCACTCAGGAGACACAGGCAGGCTGATCTCTGAGTTGAATGCCAGCCTAGTCTACATAGCAAGCTCCAGACAACAGCCAGGGCCACATAGTGAGACTATGTCTCAAAAAAAAAAAAAAAAAAGAAAAGAAAAGAAAATTGAGTATAAATCATTTACTAATAAACCATAAAATTATTTCAAAAACAATTCTTTGATAAATATATGTATATATAACTTTACTATTTATCGAAGAGGAAAGCAAATGTTTTCTAGTGAGATGCTTGTGCTTATTTATCTAACACAATCCAATCCAGAAATATACTAATTGGATACGGACATGCCAATAAGAGCAGAAACCTTTGTATAGTAAAACACCACTGTTAATAGCGTACAATAGTCTGGAGTCTGAGCTGCGGATGAGAGTTCAGCTGGCACTGGGGGGGTTGGCAGCTTGGCAGAAGGCATCCACAGCATCTGCTTCCACAGTGCCAGACCAAAGGAATAAAGGGCTAATGTGGATACATGAGGAGCAGCTCTGGTATGTCATGTGATGAGCAGGGTGACCCCCGAGGACATCACAGTTTTCCCACCCCTGTCACTATAAACCATTGCCTAAGTCAAAAATGACAAGTTTATGCCTGGTGCAGTGGTGCACACTTAACTATTCAGGAAGCTGAGGCAGGAGGATAGCTTGAGCCCAGGAGTTCAAGACCAGCCTGGGCCACACAGCAAAATGAATGGCTGAGTCACACCCACCGTGAGCGTCAGTTTCTCCTACCACTTTATGATCATTGCTTTCTTTTCTTCCTTTATCACTTCTGTGACATGTTATATATGTATGCAGTTTCAACAGCACAGTGATACCTAACTAGATGGGTCATACTGTATGAGTTCAGTGACTCCTGCATTTGTTGAGCATTGTGAGATGAGCCATAGTGGCTCATCTTCCCTGCTGTGTAATATTCT